TTAATTTGGAGCAAAGAGTTCCAAGGTTAGAGGATAAGCTGTGTAGTATATCTCAACTGTAGTACAGGTTAAACTGACTTATACAAAATAGGAATCCTTTTATATGCTCTCCAGACTTCCTTCCTGACCACATGCTTCAAAGCAAACATATAGAGGATGTCTAATCTTATATATAAAAGATCTTAACATTTTTTCCATCAGCTAATCTCTAATAATCATGTGATGTTTTCCACAGGCTGCACAGACAGAAGGCCCTCCTCTCCCCAGAACAGTTCTTACCTCGTCTGGACGGCGTGCCGGTTGACTACGACAGCCTGACCCTGGATCTCTTCATGCTGGGTTACTTTCACATCTTGGAGTTGGATCTCTCCGTGGATGAAAGGAAAATGAGGCACTTGCTGTGTTTCGAGGTATTCGACCGTGTGGGGAAGTTCCCCTGGGAGACAATCAGAGAGTTTCACAAGGCTGTTGTTCAGGACATTGAGGCTGGGAACCGTGAGTGGAAGGATGGCTTTGAGGACATTAAAGTAAAATTCTTTGGAAACACTGTGAGCAAGCCTGAAGATGCATCCAATGTGGTGAAACACAGCCTGCCAGAGGTTAGGCAGGTTCCTAAAGTCATCGTTCAGACACCTACGCCCGATGAGAACATGCTCTGTGGTGGAACTGATATTTCCAGTTTCAGCAATGAAGAAATATGTCAATACATTGATCGCAGTTTTGCTTTTTGGAAAGAGAAAGAGGCGGAGATCTTTGATTTTGAATAGTTTTTTTATGCTTTATAGTCAATTATGAGTTGTGAAACATAGGAAACACCTTCTTTCCTTTTCTTTTAAACATTTCAAATGTTTGCTTGAATTTTATCAGTTGTGTCTGATATAAATGTTCATTTGTATGTTTTTATACTGTTTTATTGCACTGTGCTTGGAAATTAAAAGACAATTTTAAGAGTTTTAACCTTTTAATCATATTTTCTAGTTGTGAAACTAACATCTGCTAAGCTCTGATACAAAAGAGCTTTAATTTCACATTATGATTTAGCTGAGATAGTCCCAAATATCAGAGCTTCTTCCTGTATTTCCTCTTTAGCCTCCTGTTCTATAAGAACTTGTACCCTTGGCAGCAGCTCTAGGTCTCAGACTTGTTGTTTGCAATCTGACTTCAGCAGAGCGTCACTGTCAGTCCTAAAAATAACAGACGGAGCAGACCAACAGGCTGCCCTCCCCAGTGACTTAGCAAACATTTGCCATGTTGCCCACTCCATGTTGCTCTAAGCCCCAGGAACCATACTTTCTTTGCGACTTAAAGATGATCCCTCTTTTACCTTTAGTCCATCTTGGGTAAGTTTTTCATTACTGATATCATCTTTTGACTTTATAACCCTGGTAAATTATGGTAGACTTTCCTTTATTTTGTGTTAGGACGACAAACAAACAAGATAGCTTCACTCAAATGTTTTTCAACTATTATTGGCTTGGAATGTTAAGGAGGAAAGTAGTTTTAACCAGAACAAAGAAACAAAATTGATTGTTGTCTAAGTATTCTGAAATATACGGCCAAAACAGCAAATTCTATTGCACTATTTTGCTGATTTTGTATTTTTTTCCGAATTTTGTTATTTTTCTTTCATGTTTTTAGGTAAGTGCTGACCTGCTGGCTGAAGAAATTACATTTCCATTTTGAAATAAGGTGGATCATGGTGCGTAATGTGGATGATCTGGACTTCTGCCTATCCTCCCACCCTCAGAGCATCCTGGAAGGCTTGCGTTCGCTCTGCTCGCACCCCAAACTGGTGGATGTGACACTGAGTGCAGGAGGAAGGGATTTCCCCTGCCACCGAGGGGTTCTGGCACTCTGCAGCATGTACTTCCGCTCTATGTTCTCAGGGGACTTTGTGGAGAGCATAGCTGCTCGCGTGGAGCTTCAGGACGTTGATCCCAACATCCTCAGCTGCTTGCTGGACTTTGCCTACACTGGAAAACTGACAATAAACCAGAGCAACGTGGAGGGCTTGATTTGCACCTCCAGCCAACTGCAGTTCCAGACGGTGCGAGCCGTGTGCAGCCGATACCTCCAGCATCAGATGGATGCGACCAACTGCCTGGGAATCCTGGAGTTTGGAGAGATCCACGGCTGCCCTGAAGTCGTGGCCAAAGCGTGGGCCTTCCTCCTGGAGAACTTTGAGGCCGTGCAACAGGGTGAGGAGTTCTTGTTTTTGGGAAAAGATCGGCTGATGTCCTGCTTGTCTGATGACGGACTGAAAATCCGCTCTGAGTGCGGACGTGTGGAGGCCATCCTGAAATGGGTCGGGCATCAGAGAGACTCTCGACTGTGCCACTTACCTGAACTTTTCAACCTGTCGCATTCGTCCCTGCTGAGCCTGAACTACCTGACTGACACCCTGCTGAAAGACAGCCTCATCCAGGCCTCTCCAAGCTGCAGGGAAGCAGTTGAAAAAGTTTGTAGAGAGGTTAGTGAGCATATGTAGTCATTTCTTAAACTGTTTTCTGAACATGTTATCTTATTTATAAAAAGACTTGTTACTTTAATCTCTTTAGAAGCAAGATTTAACTCAAGAATATTCTGAAAGACCAAGTCTTCGCAGTCCTCAACCAAACTTGCAAGAAGTACTGTTTGTGATGGGAGGACGTTCACTTGAGGATGAGGATGACGATGAGTCAGACGAGGATGAAGACACGGATCCAAGACTTCAGAGGTTGCCCTCCAAAAACTGTGCCTTCTACAACACAAAGACAAGTAGGATATGCAGCTATTTCTCCATCTCACACTAACTTGCTTTTAAATTATAACAACACTTTAGAATTTGCTGGCAACCGTCTGTCGGATTCCTTAAACTGTTTGGCAGATATAATAGGTCATTAACTGTACTGTTGACAGGAAAACGACTTTTGGAGAACTGAGTTCTGGATGTGACTAAATTGGATCATCCTCTCAAATCCGTAAATGAGTGTTTTATTGCACATTTTGATGGAAGGCATGTTGTATTTTCCTCTTGGGATTTTTAAGGAAAACGATTGCCGCATCCCATTTAAAGACTTCTGGTTCCACGACCAAGGCAAAACGACACCGGCCACAAATGGACAGCATTGCCAAAAAAAAAATTATGTTTCATTGCAGACTGCAAAGTAACGACCACTTAATGGTTTTTTTTAAAAAAACGTATCTTTTTTTTCATTTTTGCCTAATTTCTCTCATGCTTTTAGACATTATTCCAATATGTTTTACTTTATTTATGGCTGTTTTCACCCAGTGTACTTCACTGACTGCACCTCTGCAGTAATGTTCTCTTTTTCTCTACAGAAAAGTGGCATGAGCTGCCTAACTTTCCTAATCCCAACAAGTGGGGCTATGCCATGGTGTCTCTAAACAATGAAGTTTATGTAACAGGTCAGTTCAACACCACCTGTTATAACAAAAGACAAACACAGCTGAAAATACATGTTTAACTTATGACCCGTATGTTTGCATTTCTTGAGGTCCTCTCTCTAGGAATGCAATAATAAATCAGACTTTTGTCAATGTGCGCCTGTTTGTCTGATAAGGGGGCTCGCGAGGTTCAAACACCAACTCGTGGTCGACCACAGAGACCTGGAAGTACATCACTAGAGAAGGGAGATGGGTGACTGTGGCACCGATGCTACGGCCTCGGACAAACCACACATCGGCAACGCTTAATGGCGAGCTTTATGTAATTGGAGGTAAGAGAGTTAAAAATACACATTTCACAGTTTTAAGGCAAAATTAACACATTCAAACACTATTTGAGTTCCTTTTCTTCATAGTTCATTATTCCTGATTCTCTGGAGAGATATATCGGTATAGTGATAGATAAGAACTTACTTGTATTTCTATAGCCCTGCAAAATATGTCTATATGGCTTAATATTTCTATTTTGTTTAGATTAAAAAACACTTTAGTGTATAGTATTAGGTTTTCATATGAGGGAAGAGCACTGAGAACATTACCCAACATTTTCAAGATGCTGGGCCTTTAATTAGGGTTGAAATATGGAGTGAATTTTGCTCCATTATTTTGCAAGCAGAAAACACAGATTGATAAAAAAAAATACAATCAAGAAATAAACTTTGAAACTTTAAAAATAGCTACTTGAAAAGAAAAGTTCAAAAAAAGTAACTTTGAAAGCAACATTGCTGTTTTCTCAGTTTATATATTTTAAAATATTTTTTAGTATTTATATTAAATGAAAAAGTTCAAACTTTATTTGTTCCCATTTTTTAAATAGATTTTATCTTTCCAACATTTTCCCAATTTCTTTTCTTCAGATTGAGTTTTACAAAGCAGTTCTTTTAAAATTGTGTTTTCATGTGTTCGCATTTTCGTCTCTTAAAGCCTAATATAACTTGACCAATACAATGATGTTGTTAACATCCATACAGACCAATAGAAATGCTTCTTCGCTCCTCACTCCAAAGGAAGCCTGCCCCCAGTAGCAAAGAGTGATCTTTAAAAAGCAATTTAATGCAATTTATAAAACTCAATCTATCGAGGAGAAATTTAAAAAGAGAAATTCGAGAAAAAATGTACATCAAATAAATAAACAGTAAAGTAAGTCTCAAATCTTTTTTTAATTAAGAAGAAGTTACATTTCTAGATTGCATTTTTTCAAATATCCATTTTCAAAACGTGTTCTTTGCTTGCATCAGTAATGGAACGTAATGGTCATGGTAACAGGACCTGTCCATCATCTCATGGGGTTCCTCTTTATTTTATTTCTGTCTTCCATTTCATAGTAAAGAGGTTGACTGACTGTGCAGTTGATTCCTGTTATGCAGGTTTAAAAAACTTAAGAGTTTTTAGTGAACCTTCTTTTTGAAACAGGCCCCAGAGCTACAATGACTTGAAATTGGAGAGGTTTTATTGGAAAGATCCAATGTCTAGTCCTCAAATGTTTTTAACCCTAACCCAAAGGATACGTTTTTAGGCCCTCTTCATTCGAATTACCTGAGATTTATGTGTTTTTCAGAAATAAGTTGACAGAAAATGTGTCTCAAATATGTGCACGGCAGTAGGGTCGGTGTAGCTAGGAGAAATTAACTCAAAAAATGAACCATTTTCAGAATTTTTCTTCTTTAAATGTATCGACAGCAATAATGAATTATGTTACATAGTAAAATAAAGAAGAAAAAAAATGATTAGACTTTAAAGGTTTTTTTTATATGAGATTGACATGTATGTGAGTCCAAGAAATAAAATAGTTTTAAAACGATGCATTACCGGTAGTTTGTTTCCACTTCATGTCTTGTGCTACTATGTTCTTATGGTACTGTATTCCTGTGTTGCACATAATCCCAGTAAGATACATCAATGTTTTGGATTATCACTTAATGAATGTGGGGGGAAAAAATCAAGCCCTGTGAATGTTAGACTAAAACTATTTTTCATACTATTATCCATCATGCATTACCTAATAAAAGAAATTCAATGAATTATGCTTTTATCTTTTAGGTACAACCTCGGCACAAGTTGAGGTCGAGCATTATGACCCTTACACTGACACCTGGACTTTGACGTGTCCTGCTTTAAAATATGTGACAAACTTTACGGCCACAGCTTGTTTTGGAAAGCTTTATGTTATTGGATCGTGTGCAGTGAAGTACAACGCCCTGACCATGCAGTGTTACAACCCTGTCATAGGTAATTTCAGCATCATACAGTATTCATGCTGTTTGACACAATTCATTCACTTCTTTTGCAAAATCGTCAAACAAAATCATACAATGAAAAAAGTGACAACAAGTAGGAAATATTCAGTAGATGAAATCTGATAAATCATGTTTCTCTTTTTTGTTTATAGATGCTTGGATTAGTATAGGATCACCCTTCATCCCTAAGTATTTGTCTTCACCCCGTTCGGTCTGCATGGATGGAATTATATACCTGGTGGCTGATAACACAAAGAAAGTTTACTCATATGATCCAGAGGCAAACATGTGGCAGAAGGTGGGATTTGGAAATAAAAAAAGATAGAAAATTAAAAAAAACTTAAGCAGCACCTCTTTTTGAAATCCTTGAATCAAAGCTACTGGTTTTTCATTTACACAGGTCCAGCTTCTTCACATGCTCCATGAAAACGGCGGCCTAGTATCCCTGGATGGAAAGCTGTATGTCACAGGCGGCCACTGGAAAGGAATGGAGGGAGACTACGGGGTGGAAGTGGAGGTTTACAACCGAGCCTCCAACACCTGGGATTTGGAGTGTTTCCTCCCAAGACTATGGTTCTACAGCGGCGTATGCACCATATATCTGGATCCATCCCAGTGGCCTGAGCTTCCACCTTTGGAGTCCACATAAATTCCCATCAAGGATTCAATTGTTTCACTTTTGGAGTCAATGAGTTCAGAGACATATTACACTCGCGTCTATATTTAGAGTGCAAATATTATGTCAATCCCAGGATGTCATTTGTGCCAAGAATAGTTTGTTACATGATCCTCGATTATTCTTAAAGCATTAACACATGTTGAGTGCTCAACAGGTGTTCATTCTTCGTATGGTGTGTTTCAGAGGCTTTTGTTTTAAAATATTTGCAGAAATTGTTTTAAGTTATGTTTTATAGCATTATTATAAATCGGACGTCTTCAACAGGGGTCCGTGACCCCTAGGGGGTCCTTGGATTTACTGCATGGGGGTCGTGAAAGTTTTGGTTGATTAGACTTTTTTATATATTCCCTCCTACAATTTTTTCCACTAATTGAAATGTCTTTAAATACACAATAACATGAATTCAACACACTTTAGTTTACCGATAAATGGACGCAGAAAATGTATTTTAGTCATCAATGCACACATTCAGCGACACACAGGAGCTCTTTCAAGCTGGGCACCGTTTCATTCACAACACCTGTCCCTTCAACCAGGACTCAGAATCAGAAATACTTTAATAATCCCAGGGAGAAATTACTTTAGTTACATTACTTCATCTGTAATAG